GGGGGTGTTTNGGGGGGGTATTGAAGGGGGGGAGAGAGGGGAGGAAAGGGGAGGCCATGGTAGTGTGTGGTTTATTCTGTTCGGGGCCGTTGGGTTTGGATTTTATATTTGGATCCTGGATTTGGGGTCTGGTTCGAGTAAGGGGTCCTCGGCTGTCGGAGCTCCTGGGTTTCGGAGCTTAGCCCGGTGTGGCTGTAGCCTCGTATGCAGGCCTTGCCCAAACGCTCTGAACTTCAGCTACAGCTACTTCATCTACTCATGGGCCTTGGGCTCGTATGGGTAGGAGGGGGATACAGGTACGGGGTCACGCAACCCCAACCATGTAACACACACATCTACCCCCTGGGGCAATGCGGTATCATCGCCAAACCACCTCCTCCTCCCCCTCTCCGCAACAACAACAACAACAACAACAACAACAACAACAACAACAACAACAACAACAACAACAACAACAACAACTGCTGCTGCTGTAACTACTACTGCTGCTGTTGCTGCTGTAACTACTACCAATGCTGCTGCTGCTATCTCCTCACCCTCCAGGCGCGGGGAGCTTTATTTCGAGCTACACCGAGGAACCTACACCTCACATGCCGCCAACAAGTCGCACAACCGGTCGTGTGAACTGTTGCTTCGGGAGGCGGAGGCGGCGGGGGCGCTGGCGGCCGCCGTACTGCCGGCGGATGTGTACTGCTATCCCAGGTGCGTACGGCAAATGAAACCAGGGCCCAATTGAACTGGTCGGGAGTACTGATCGCTTGCTTTACATCTTTCCTTGCTTTTCGGTTGTAATTCACTAATTCCTGGTTCCTGGATCGAATCCTGCTGGGTGCAGATCGGAGATTGACGCGATCTGGAAGGACGTGTTGTTGTTCCAGTTCCACGACGTACTACCGGGCAGCTCCATTGGTCAAGTTTACGACTATACGGCAGAAAGGTATCGTACTTGCTGATTTTTGCGCATATCTATCTATCTATCTTTCTATCTATCTATTATCTATTATCTATTATCTATTATCTATTATCTATTATCTATTATCTATTATCTATTATCTATTATCTATTATCTATTATCTATTATCTATTATCTATTATCTATTATCTATTATCTATTATCTATTATCTATTATCTATTATCTATTATCTATTATCTATTATCTATTATCTATTATCTATTATCTATTATCTATTATCTATTATCTATTATCCATTATCTATTATCTATTATCTATTATCTATCTATCTATCTATCTATCTATCTAGATATCTAGATATCTATCTATCTATCTAGATATCTATCTAGATATATGTCATATGTATACATGTCACTTGATCGGGGCCTTGCATGTTCACCTCCCCCCGCCATAACCTCCCAGCGGATCCGTGGGCCTTATGGAGTCTAGTGGTGGTGCTCTGGGGGCTCAAGGGGGGTGGGCGGTCGGTTTTCACACCCCCCCCCCCCGGGTGGGGGAGGGGTACGTTACACCTGACTGACTGCTGTAGGTTGTACATCTGGCACACGAAACACACTACTCTTCCCCTCGTCGAATTCCAGATCCAAATGCTTCCCTGGTATTGCGGTGGGTGCGCTGGTCTCACAACTCCCCCACCCCGCCGCGCCCCCCTGCCGCGCCCCCCCCAAAACAGGGATTCCCCCCTCCAAAACACAACACGAAAACCATCCCGTGTCGGCCACTTGCTTCACCACTCGTATGCCCCTCCTCCCCACCCACCCAATTTTCTCCCACCGGGGCCCCAACCCCTCACATGCATACATACATACATACATACATACATACATACATACATACATACATACATACATACATACATACATACATACATACATACATACATACATACATACATACATACATACATACATACATACATACATACATACATACATACATACTTCCAGATACCCCATCCTGGAGTTCAACATCCGCAAGATTCGTGACGCAGCACTGGAGGCCCTTCTGGCGGCAGCAGGGGGGGCTACGGCTACAGCCGCAGGTGCTACTGCTACTGCTGCTACTACTGCCGGCGCAGTTGGGGCTACCGTGCCCTGCGGCAGTAGCAGCTGCAACGACAGCAACTACTACTGCGTTGGTGGCGGTGGTGGCGGTGGCGGGGTGGGGACGCTGCACAGTGCGGAGGTGGTTGGCGCCAGGCCGCTCAACCCCCACGTCTGCCATTCTGCCCCATCGCCGTACAACAACCCTCTTAGCGTCGCCCAAGATTGTTATGTGGTGCCTCGTGCCGGCGGTCAGGTGGGGGCCGGTGGGGTTGCGATTGCCGTGTTTTTTCTTGTGTGTGTGTTTCTGTGTGTGTGTCTGTGTGTATGTGTGTCTGTGTGTGTGACCCGACATGATGGTGGCACACATCCCCAATTTCAGCCCCGTTCCTACCAGCAGACTCCCCTCCCCTCCCCTCCCCTCCCCTCCCCTCCCCTCCCCTCCCCTCCCCTCCCCTTCCCGCTACCAATCTCCCGCCTCAAACCCCCCAAACCTGACGTCCTCCCCTCCCCTCCCCACGTATTAGGCACTACGGGGCTGCATGCACATGCCCCTAGTGCGCGCAGGTTGGCGGGAGCCACGGGTGGCCCCGGCCCGCGCACTTGCGCTTCTCTTCCTACCAACTCCCTCTCCTCCCTTGGGCTTGGCTTTTCTTTTGCGTTGGAAAGAACGTTCGCGTTTGCGTTCTTTCCAACCCCCTTCTTTGCATTCTGCCGGCGTACACGCCGTCCAATGCGTCATCCCGTCCAATGCGTCATTAGGTCATCTCGTACTACACCTTCTGTGTCGTCCTGCGCCGCCTTTTGCTATTGTTTTTTAGTTCCTGCGTTTTCTTCCGTTTTCATATAGGTTCTTTAGGGCTTCTCGTTTCCAGCTTCCCCGATCAGCAAGTTTAATACTCCTTTTCAGCAGCATTTGCATGCGTTTTCGTATTTTTCTTTCGCTGCTCACAACTCCCCCACCTCTCTGCCTTGCATGTGCCTTTGCCCGCTGCTCCTGCTGCCTGGCCAGGTGAGTCCAAAGGGTGGTTCGAGCTTCTTTGGTATTTCGCGTTGGCGTCGGTAGGCTAGTCGGAATAGTTTAGTTGGGTCGGTCGGGTCAGTCGCGCGTTCTAGTTTTTTTGGGGGGTTGGGAGGAGCACTTGCATACCGGCAGCCTTTCAGTATCAGCAATGCAGCTTTCTCTCCTGGCCAGCAACTTTACGCCACTTTTACGTCAGCACTATTTTTCTCGCCGCCATCACTATTTTTTACACCTACTAGTTTACGGTTTGGCTATTCTATTCAGCCTTTTTTTCTGGCGGCTTAGGTAGGTAGGACTTCCAACATCTACGTCACTTCGTCATCCCGAGGTTACAGTCGTCATCCCGAGGTTACAGTCGTCACAGTCGCCACGGACGCCTTTCGGTCAGTTCTTTCGGTTGCTACTATCTTGCCCTGGCAGCAGCTTCAATCGCGTGTGGTTCGTCTTTCCCTCCCCTCCCCTCCCCTCCCCTCCCCTCATTGCACATACACTCTCATCTCCCCCTTACTTCGTGACGGCGGCGGCGGCCGTGATGATGGTGGCGGTGATTCGCCAACCCCAACCTCTACCCCAACCCCTACCACTACTGCTAGGTAAGTGCCATAGCTCGCGCGCTTGCCCGTATCGTCTCATGCGGTCACTGCTGGCGGCGGTGCGGCAGCCAGCGCTGCACTGCGGGCTCAGGTCGTCCGCCTCCACCGCCGCCGCCGGCCCAACACCAGTCTCACTATCGGCAGGTAAATCCAGTGCTCCTGAAGGGGCCCATCCCGGAGGCCACGTCGAGCTCACGTCCGGGTTTGCGTGCCCTCTCCCTCCCTCCTGGTCCCCGGGTTTGGACGTGAAGGGAGCGGAAGGGGAGACGGAGGGCGGGCGAGGAGCGCTGCCGCGAGTGGTGACCGCCGCCGCGGCGGCGGCGGCGGCGGCGGCGGCACCTGTCACAGGCAGCGGAGGGTTCAGCCCCGGGACGGTAGTAGGGGCGGCAGCCCGGGTTCGTACGACAGTTGGCTGGGTGTACAACAGCATGGCGTTTCACCGGCGGGAGGTGGTCTCAGTGCCCGTGGAAATGTTGCCGCCGGGCGTGTCCGTACGGCAGCTGTCGGCAGATCGTACGGCAGCGTTGGTGGTGGTGGATGTGCCGCCGCTGAGTCTGACACCGCTGTTGCAGCAGGATCTAGCGGCGGGGTACGGCAGTGCGGCGCCGGCGCTGGCGCCGGCTCCGTCGGCGCCGGCGTGTGGCGGCCGCGATGATGCCCCATGGGTCGGTGGCGGCGCGACCATTCTGCGCGAGACGACCCGCAAGGACGGTGTTGTTTACGTGATGCAAAACAGCCTGGTGCGTGGCCTTGAGGTTCTCTGTACAGGGGCCGGTAGTGTTCGGGGGCATGCACAGCGAGTGCGGCTACGGGGGTGGCCTGGGCCAGCAGGTTTAGGCGCACAGCCACGTGGGCCCTCTTCCGCCCACCACACACACAGAAGCCGCATCCAATACGCATACACACATACACACATGCACACATGCACACATGCACACATACACACATACACTCATGCACACATACACACGCAGCCTGAATGATGTCCCTCCCGCCCACCGCGGGTGTTTGGCCCCATACGGCCCCAATCCATTTGATGTACGACTCCCGTCGGTTCCTTACCGTACGGCACCAGATCCGGGCCATGTTCGACAGCTGTGGACGTCTGATCAGCCTGTACGACATGATCTGGCAGCGGGAGCTGGTGCCCGAGGGCGAAGCAGGGAACGTGTTCAGGTAATTTACCGACCGGCTGTGGATTGTATGCCGTACGCCGTACGTTGCACAGTCAATACGAAAGAGGATTCTACTCTATGTGGCGTTGTGCAGTGTGTTGGTGGTGTGTGGGCCCACCGGGCAGGAGTGCCGGAGTTGCGGGGCGCAATCCTCCCCCCTG